GGAGGAGGAGGGAGGAGGAGGAGGAGGAGGAGGAGGAGGAGGAGGAGGAGGAGAAAGGGGAGGAGGAGGAGGAGGAGGAGGAGGAGGAGGAGGAGGAGGACCTGTGTAAACCCAAGATTTATCAACGATTTGGGAATAAACCCTCCCTCCAAGCTCCCTCTTTATAGGCCCCTACACCGGTTCATTTCCATTGAGGGAGTTGCCTCGTTGGAAAACAACAGTTTGAAGACCCTGAAGCATGCCAAGTCATGGTTCTCGGGATTCCAACGTCACGTGTCAATCTAATTGTTGCATATTGACGATTGTGAATCGCGCTCGAACGCCATTCTTGGGACTTCAGCGCAGAGAATAAACGTAACCGTTGCGCCCGCAGTATCCTGAGCCTTTGAAAAAACACAATTTCTGGTACGTTAACGATGGGAATCCGTGAAACTCTTGCACACGTCGTAAACGAATGTGCGCGGCGCTAGGGCGAGAGCCACATTTTGAAAAGGAACCGCCTTCAGTTCCACATTTTGAAAACGACCCGCCCTCAATCCGTGAAGCTCTTGCAGATGTTTCAAACGACTGTGCGCCTCGCTGCGGCGATAACCACATGTTGAAAACGACACGCCCTCCACCTCTGGAACCGTTGCAAATTTTTGTTTAACGAATGTGCCCCGCGCTAGGGCAAGAGCCACGTTTTGAAAACGACCCGCCCTCAACCCATGAAAGTCTCACAGATGTTACAACGAATGTGCGCGGCGCTAAGACGAGAGTCACATGTTGAAAACCACCCACCCTCCATCTGTAACGCTGTTGCCAATTTTTAAGCCTCAGAGTCATAGATGGTGTGGAAATCTCAGGCGAGACGCCTGGCCCGCCCTAAAAACTGGCGTCGGGGTGCGACAGGGAGAAGTTGTGTATAAGGAAAACGAATGGAGGATGAGGAGGAGGAAGAGGAGGAGCATTAGTGGGAGGAGAAGGAGGAGGAGGAGGAGGAGGAGGAGGAGGAGGAGGAGGAGGAGGAGGGGAGGAGGGGGAGGGGGAGGAGGAGGAGGAGGAGGAGGAGGAAGAGGAGGAAGGGAGGGGAATGGGAGGAGGAGGAGGAGGAGGAGGAGGAGGAGGAGAAGGAGGGGGAGGAGGAGTAGGAGGAGGAGGGGGAGAAGGAAGAGGAGGAGGGGGAGGAGGAGGGAGAGGAGGAGTGGGGTGGGGGCGGGCGGGTTGGCGCCCCCCAGTGGAACTCCACCTGGGGATCTCCCCCCCTGCAGGGGAAGAGATCAAGCGGACGGGGCTCCCCTTCGACTCGATCCCGGGTCGAGCCACCTCGGACCGGCAAGCTTGAAGAGTTCCAGGTGGCCGCAGGGAAAGAGTGGGAGAGTTTCGAGCGGGAAAGCGCGTCCGAGGATCACCCCTGGACGAACAAGAACAACAAAGAGGATCACCCCTGGACGAACAAGAACAACAAAGAGGATCACCCCTGGACGAAGAAGAGGAACAACAAAGAGGATCACCCCTGCACGAACAAGAACAAGCGCAGGGAAAGCGCGTCCGAGGATCAACCCTGGACGAACAAGAACAGCAAAGAGCACCATCCTGGGGCGACCGCCCCGTGACCTCCTCGCACGCACGCCGACAGGGTCGGCGCACTGGGCGCGCGGGCGGCTGGCATTGGAGGAAGGGGGGAACTGCCGTGCTATACAGGTCACTACCCCGCTCCGGGGGAGAGGAGGAGGAGGAGGAGGAGGAGGAGGAGGAGGAGGAGGAGGAGGAGGAGGAGGAGGAGGAGGAGGAGGAGGAGGAGGAGGAGGAAGGGTGGAACTGCCGCGCGAAGAACGGCTTAAAATAAACTTTTTCGCTGTCGGGGGCGCCTGCCTTTTGGGCGGCTGGGAAGTTTGTACCCCTACGGTGGCACCGTAAGGGTATGAACTTTCCAGCCGCCCTGGGACAGGCGCCCCCGGCAGCGAAAAAGTTTATTGTATACCTTTCTTTGCCCGTTGAATATACAGGTCACTACCCCGCTCCGGGGGAAATGACATCCGTCCCCATTTCTCGTAACGCCCCGCGGAAACCATTGCATTGCATGACTTTTCCTCGCACGCGTGCTCCTTTCGCGGCCGGCCGAGAACATGTCTAGGACTGCAGGGGAGGCCGCCACGTCTAGGACTGAGGGTGCTGGAGGCGGTTCCCACGTCGGTGAGGAGAAGTGCAGGCACAAGTTCGCGAGGACGATGATGCTGCGGACGAGGATCAGGTCGGCGTCTGCTCGAAAGCAGTCTATGTCCGAGAATCCGGGAGAGGATGGAGAGGAGGAGGAGGAGGAGGAGGAGGAGGAGGAGGAGGAGGAGGACAGGGGGGGGGGGAGGAGGAGGAGGAGAGGAGGAGGAGGAGGAGGAGGAGGAGGAGGAGGAGGGAGGAGGAGGGAGGGGGAGGAGGAGGAGGAGGAGGAGGAATGAGGAGGAGGAAGGGGGCAACTGCCGTGCGAAGAACTGTATTAAATAAACTGTTTCGCTGCCGGGGGCGCCTGTCCCTGGGCGGCTGGGAAATTTATACCCCTACGGTGCCACCGTGAGGGTGTAAACTTTCCAGCCGCCCTGGGACAGGCGCCCCCGGCAGCAATTTTTTTTGTTTTTTTTTGTTTTGTTTTTTTTATGCCGTTCTTCGCCCGTTAAACATACAGGTCGCTACCCCGCTCCGGGGGAACTGACATCCGTCCTCATTTCTCGTAACGCCCCGCGGAAACCATTGCATTGCATAACTTTTCCGCGCACGCGTACTCCTTTCGCGGTCCGCCGAGATCATGTCTAGGACTGTAGGGGAGGCCGCCACGGCTCCGGGTGCTGGAGGCGGTTCCCACGTCGGTTGGGAGAAGTGCAGGCACAAGTGCGCGAGGACGATGATGCTGCGGACGAGGATGAGGTCGGCGTCTGCTCGAAAGCAGTCTGTGTCCGAGAATCTGGGAGAGGATGGAGAGGAGGAGGAGGAGGAGGAGGAGGAGGAGGAGGAGGAGGAGGAGGAGGGAGGAGGAGAGGAGGGGGAGGGGGAGGAGGAGGAGGAGGAGAAGGTCGAGGAGGAGGAGGAGGAGGAGAAGGAGGAGGAGGCGGAGGCCGAGGAGGAGGGTGTGGAGGAGGAGGAGGAGGAGGAGGAGGAGGAGGAGGAGGAGGAGGAGGAGGAGGAGGAGGAGGAGGAGAAGGACGAGGAGAAGGAGGAGGAGGAGGAGGAGGAGGAGGAAGCGGAGAAGGACGTGGAGAAGGAGGAGGAGGAGGAGGAGGAGGAGGAGGAAGAGGAGGAGGAGGAGGAGGAGGAGGAGGAGGAGGAGCAGGAGCAGGAGATGGAGGAGGAAGGAGGAGGAGGACCAGTTGAAACCCACGAGTCGTCAACGATGTTGCAATAAACCCTCCCTGTAAGCTCCCTCGTCACAAGCCCCTACAACGGCTCATATTCACTGAGGGAACTGCCTCGTTGGAAGACAACCGTTTGAAGACCCTGAAGCCTGAAGCATGCCAAAACCATGTTCTCGGGATTTGAACGCCGTGGATGAACCAGCCTGTTGCGTCTTGACGATCTTGAATCGTACTAGAGCACCAGTCCTGATATTTCAACACAGCGAACTGACGTAACTGTTGCAACCTCATAATTCAGAATCCTTCCAAACGCCGTTTTTGGTACGCTGCCTACGGGCACACCTGAAACTCTTGCAACTGTTAAAAAGGGATGTGCGCGGCGCTGAGGCGAGAGCCACATTTTGGAAAGGAACCGCCTTCAATCTGTGCACACACATGTTTAAAGAGACTGTGCGCGGCGTTAAGGCGAGAGCCAAATTTTGAAACGGAACCGCCCCCGATCCGTGAAAGGGGGAGGGCATGAAGGAGGCGGAGGAGGAGGAGGAGGAGGAGGAGGAGGAGGAGGGGGAGGGGGAGGAGGAGGAGGAGGGGAGGAGGAGGAGGAGGAGGAGGAGGAGGAGGAGGAGGAGGAGGAGGAGGAGGAGGAGGAGGAGGAGGAGGAGGAGAGGGAGGACAGAAGAGAGAAGGGGACACGCACACTCCAGCCCACGAAGGCCGCCAGCTCACGCCGGGCCGAGGAAAACGAGCTGGGCGGGAAGGAGGAGGACGGGGATGTGGATGAGTGGGCGGGGGGGCAGTATGGGGTAGGAGCTGGAGACGGAGGTTCAGGGTACTGCTGAGGAGGAGAAGTCGGCATGCGAGGAGGTGGAGAGTAGCTATAGCAGCAGGTGAAGAAGTGTAGTAGGAGGAGTCGGAGGAGGAGGAGGAGGAGGGAGAGGAGGAGGAGGGAGAGGAGGAGAAGGAGCAAGAGGAGGAGGAGGAGGAGGAGGGAAACAGGGAGGAGCGATGGGAGGCGGGAGGCCCGATATGGCAGTTGGTGCACGTTCGCGCCGACCAGGGAATCGCAGACATTTTGCAAAACGGAAGACCCCTGAATGTCCAGCGGCACGAGGAGGAGGAGGAGGAGGAGGAGGAGGAGGAGGAGGAGGAGGCGGAAGAGGAGGAGGAGAACTGACGCCTCGAGCTCTCGCTCCAGCGGCTTGCCCAGGCAAGGGAGGAGGAGAGGGAGGCGGCGGAGGCGGCGGGCGAGCAAAAGGGGTCATACGTTCAGGAATATGGGCTCGTCGGAGGGAGGCCACCTGTTCGCGGCAGGGCCCCCTGGTGATCAGCTGGGGAAGGGGCACCGAAGTTCCACAGGGAGCACCGTTAAGGCAGCTCGGCAGAGATGGCGGAGGGAGGGAGGGATGGAGGAAGGGAGGGAGGGAGGGAGGGAGGGAGGGAGGGATGAAGAAGGCTGGAGTGGAGAGTGACGGGCAGCCTTCGGTCGTCTTTGCGCATGGGAGGTTCTGTGTTGATGCCCCCGACATGCATGTCTCGGTGCTCTTTCTTTGAGGGCACATTGTTTTGCCCCAGTTGTTGATCTGTCCGTTGGCCACCCTGTTTGGGCTCGTGCTGCGGAGTATTGGCCCAGCACCTCTATGCTCCGTGTCCGGCAGTTGTCTGCAATGGCGGTGGGAGGCTGAACACCAGTCTGAACTGCTCGTCCTTCCTGGAGTTCGTCTTCCTCTCGCGCGAGAGGCGCGGGCTCGGTGTGAAGTGTCTGGGCCGCAGTTATACCGACGATTTGCCTGTTCCATGTTGGCGCCATGCTTCACGCTCGTGTTGGCCTCCCGCAGCCACCTTCTGATGTATATCCCCCTCCCAGCCACATGAACGCATGCATTGAATGAAGACCCTTGCACGAAAGTCCCTGGGGCTTGTGAGAGAAAATGCGTATCGTTCCCAGAAAACAGATGACCAGTACATGCAAAGCGATGCGTGAGCTGAGGTGCAGACGCAAAACGTGCTGGACACGAGTGTGCTGCAATCTTGCCCTCCCCCTTCGCCGCTCCTAGGGGAATGCCGCGTCTCATGGGCTCGACTGTGCTGCTTTACAGTCAATCCGCATCGCAAGGATGGGCAACCTTCCCAAGGGTACCCTTGCATCCTTGCCTCCTCGGCCCATCCTTGGCCACTTTCATTGGCCGCGCCCCGCTCGAGAAGTTTCGAACTGGGCGTCCAAGGCTCTTGCATCCTTATCGCGCATCCTTCTGGTACGGGTTGATTGTATTTGCGGTGATCGTGTTAGCCCTTTTTGTATAGGACAGGGCCCGCTATCAAGTACGCATCGCTCGCCTCTGGCTGTTCAGGGCGGCCAGGACTCGAGAGCCTAGCGCCGTTCCATGCTTCAGTATTCCAGGCCTCCCGGGACCACCCTGGAGCCATGAACATCGAGCCGTGAGTAGAATTTCTGGCATTTGGCCCCTCTTGGCTCCACCCCTCTTCGACGGTGTGGGTAACGGGGGCGTCGGTGGCAAACCCTGGGAGCCTGGTATACCTTCTGAAATCTGTCTTTAGCGTCGATTAGCGTCTAGAGTCGATGAGATAGCGCCGATTTAGCGTCGGTTAGCGTCGATCAGCGTCGATTCAGCGTCTGTTAGCGTCGACTTAGTGTCGATTAGCGTTGATTCGCAAGAGCCGACAAGACCCATGAATTGCCACCGAAGTCGAACCTACCTAGACAACTCCGTGGATCTACGGAGAAATTTGCATATTGTTCGTAGATTCGACTGACAGTCAGTTCTGGTGCCAATCCATTCTGTAGTCGGTCCCATCTTCGAATCACAGAATCTACGCGAGACCGCTGCACTGCGCTCCCGAAAAGCAGCGACCAGCGGAAGCGGAAGCACAACTGGCAGCATTGGGGCGTGACATGAAGGACGCTTGTGTGACACGAGGTCCAAGTCGGAAACTGGAACATATACATTACCATTGGCGGGCTCTCTTTCCATCCCAGGACTTCTTGAGGGTCGGGGATGACATCGGGGTGGTGTGATGTGTACTTTTTCCCCGCTTCCCCAGGGAAACTGCAAAAAATGTATACACCCGGACCCCATATACACAAGGATCCGCTGTCTTGTGAGAGTTTCAGCGTAGGGCCGGAAAAAGCGTTGGTGTATAGCAGCGCTGGCCGAAAGCGTTGTTTACATGAAAAATTGTTGATTTATTTTTTGATTTGTTTTTTGTTCTGAACGCGTTTTGCTTTGGTTTCAAGCGATTGCGTAAACCGATGCCCTGTATAGAGTTCGGTTCTCTACCAAAGGCACCCGCGATCTGTCTGCCCTTGTGCATGGAGCTCCGGGCCCCGACCGGGTCTTCTTTTCGACGCGTGCCCCCATTACCTCGCACCTCCTGCAACGTCTTGATTTGCATCCGCCAACTTCTTCTCATCCTCATCCTCCGCCTCCTCCTCTGCCTCGTCCCCCATTCCTCTTCCTCGACCAGTTCGGCTCAAGTGGTCATGGCATGGTTTGAGAGGTCGCCCTGGCTGGCCCAGAGGCCTACCCCGTCTCAGCGCCTACACAGTCGCCTTTGTATGTGCTCGGTCCTCTGGCGTGCCGTGCCCTGACACACGTCGTGGCGACGGAAGGCGGTGCCGTGGCAGATAGCGCCGTGCCAACGGCACTAACTCTGGATCGGACAGAGGGGGATGCTGAACTGCACGCTCCAGCCGAGCGGAGTTGAAGGACCTCCGTGATGAAGCGGCGATGGCCGTATCCATGTCGATCCGATCGATCGATCTGATTCGATGCCAATTCTGGCAGGCCCGAACCGATTCAATCCCGCTTTTCCAAGGCTCCAGTGCGGCCCAGTGCCTTTTGTGGCGCTGCTGTGCATCCTGGCGCAGCCGGTCCGACTCGATATCGACTCCGTGCCGATTGAGTATTACCCGATTCGACGCTGACTGATCATGGGTTCTGTTCGATCCTCGAATGGCAGCCCTCCGTGGAAACGAACTACTGCCAGACAAAGGGCAATGAAGCGACGCCGAAAGCAGGCAGGCGACGAAGAGGGAGAAGATCGCAGACTTCGAGCTCGATCAGGAAAGCATGGTGGCCAAGAGACCCGCCAGGCGCAGGCGACAGAGGCAGATAAAAAGAGTAAGATGTACACTGAGCTGGAGGTTAACATCCTTCTTGCCGAGATGCCACCACGGAAAAGATTTAGGAGAGGGGAAAAGACAGGAAATTCAGGCATCGAGGACAAGCGCAAACAGCCATTGGAGCGGGTCATGAGGCATCGGGGCAACGATATCAAGACCGTGGAGGGCGAATATTGAGGAGCCGGAGGCGCTGGAGGACGATAGTTTCATAGAGAACGGCAGCAAACGTCAAGACTGGTGGCCATGCCACGCAACAAGCATGGCGAGGGATCGCACGCCCCACGAGCTCCGAGTTCAGCTGGTGAAGCAGGCGGTGTGTTAGCCGAGAGTGAATGTGCATTGAGCGTAGCGGCCTCGAGGGCGATGGGGAGAGCGAGGTCTCCGATATCGACCGTTGCATAATCAGTAGCCGCTCAGTAGCCGACGAAAGGGAAAAACTAGTGATTTCAAGTTCCCGTGGCGAGCCCGACTGAGGAGCGAAGCGTAGGAATCGATGTTCCCTCCTCCTCCACATCTTCGTGCTCTTCCATCTCCTGCATCCCCCCTCCACACCTCCCTTCGCCGCTCTCTGCCCCCTTCTACCCCCCGTGCCCTCCTCCGCCAACGCCGCAACTGGGGCCGCAGCTGAGGCTCCCAAATGGGGCATGGGGCGTGTGACGGGCGTGCCGACGTGAGCGGGGCGCGCGTGTGATAAGGAGGAGGAGGGGGAGGAGGAGGAGGAGGGGGAGGAGGAGGAGTAGAGGAGGAGTAGAGGAGGAAGAGGAGGAGGAGGAGGAAAAGGAGGAGGAGGAGGAGGAGGAGGAGGGAGGAGAAGGAGGAGGAGGTGGAAGGAGGAGGGCGAGGAAGTTAGGGACCACTCTGGGCTCAGGGGGGACTCCGGTTTCCGGGCCGTTCCTCAGACCAAGGTCGGGGAACTTGTTCGCAGTCGAGTGTCGCCTTGGCCAGAAAAGCCCCGCCAGGCGATGTTGTGATTCTTATCCATGCGCAGTCCCTGGAAGCCTGACCCTTTCCGCGGGACTGGCTCTTCGTCCCCAGTCGATGTCTGGCAGTCCCGGGGCCCAGCGAGGGCCTCTCGAGGCCACAGACGGCAAAACACCTCCGTTGTTTTTCGCCTCAATATACACACTGTTCATTTCTAAGTATTCGAAAGTTCTTTGATTTTTGGGGGGCCACGGTCCTCTCATTTCTAATTGTTATATCTTGGGCCTCTCCCTGGCCACCAGGGGGCCAGGAACAATTAGAATCGAGCACAGTTTGACATTAGCACGATGAGACACGAACGACGTATACCTTTGAACCCCTCGCTGCCTCTCTCCACTGGCGCTGCTCCTTCTGGCTTCCACGACGACCCACAAGCGAGAGCAGCGGCAGCAGCGGCAGCGGAGAGGGCGCGGTCGGCGGCTGCTGCCCGCGCGCCCCCCGCCCTGGGGGGCGCGCAGGGGTCCTGCGGCTGCGCCCACCACCCCCCAGCTCCTCCTCCTCCTCCTCCTCCTCCTCCTCCTCCTCCTCCTCCTCCTCCCCCTCCTCCTCCTCCTCCTCCTCCTCCTCCTCCTCCTCCTCCTCCTCCTCCTCAGATGCCCCCCTTCCTCCGCTGCAGACTTGGCTGCCGTGATCTGCTCGCGTCGGGACGCAGCGCATGCCGTCTTGGAGGCGTCCGTCGGAGCACGCGCCAGACCGATGTTTCTTCCGTCCGCGTGCTGTGTCGGGCTCCGTGCCAGCACGCCACGCGCGTGCTGCGCGCTTGATGCCTGGGCAGCTCCACGCTGCAGTGCGTTTTTTTTCGAAGCGCAGGGGAAGTGGGGTCCTGAAGACTTCTCGCCGTGCTCGGCCTCCTTGCCCACCCCTCCACCCCCACAGCATCGGTTTCGGTCCACACTGGCGAAGATTATATTCTAGATCTACAGCAGGGGCACATGCGTGCACAGGCTCACACAAAAATAATTGCAGCATGCAAGCATCACAGAAGGTAGGCACGAAGAACATGACGTCGGTTCCGAGGAGAAGGAGCAGGAACAATCAGGAGATGGAGAAGGAGAGGAAAAAGGAAAGAAGGAGGATCATGATGATCACCAGATTATTGTGGGAAAGAGGTGCTATAGCGGGATCGCAGTCATATGCATGTGGGGCGTCCACACCTTGCGATGAATGCGGCTGAGGCTGGAGTTACACACCGTGCCTTTGGAGTTGAAAGCAAGCTCCGAAGTCATACGTGGGAGGATGTCTCGAGCGAAACTGCGATTTTGGATAATGAAAAGACAATTGTAAGTACGTCGGGTTTCAATGTTCGGGGGTGTCGCACGCGAAACGGCAAGTGTTCCAGGAATCCAGTCCAACAGAATTGAAGCCCATTGTGCTTTTGAAGGTGGGTGTTTGGACCCTGGCGTCCCGATCTGCGTGAGGGGGGGAAGCTCGGGTGTTGCGCGAGGTGCCCCTGGCCCGAGGTGCCCCCCAACTTTTCCGGCCCATCTTGGAGCCCCCGGGCCCCCTGGGCCTTGTGAGGGGTGCTCTGGAGGCCGTGGGGGGACCGCGGCGACAGCTGCAACTGCAACCCTCCTCCCCCCCGGCGCGCCGCCGAGACACTTTCGATCCTTGATCGACGGCCCACCGCCGCTGCAGGATCAAGACTGCGAAGGCCTTGCGGCCGGTGCCGCCGACCCTGAATGGAGACGACGACGACGACGACGACCACGATGACGACGACGACGACGACGACGACGACGACGACGACGACGACGACGACGACGACGACGACGACGACGACGACTACGACGACGAAGACCACGACGACGACGAAGACCACGACGACGACGACAGCGGCGGCGGCGGCGACGCTGACGTGGGCGAGCGTCTTCAAGGATGCTTCTTGGGGTCTCTTCGGACGGCTCTCGGGGGCCCCTGGGGCCGCTGCAGGATCAAGATCCAGCTCGGCTACGTCCGCGGGAACTTCAGCGCCCAGGACGCCCAGGCGCGGGCCGACGGCGAGGAACGGTGGCGCCCGCGTCGGCTTTGCTGCGCCCCCCTCCCCTCCACCTGGCCACCCGCTCTCGGAGGCCTGTCGCGCCTCCTGTCGCTGTCCTCATCCTGCCCTCTCCGCCCCCTCCTCCTCTTCGTTTTCTCTCTGATCGTCTTATCTCCTCCTCCTCTTCCTCCTCCTCCTCCTTCTCCTCTTCCTCCTGCTCTCATCATCATCATCATCATCATCATCATCATCATCATCATCTCATCATCATCATCATCATCATCATCATCATCATCATCATCATCATCATCATCATCATCATCATCGTCATCGTCATCGTCATCGTCATCGTCATCGTCATCATCATCGTAATCATCCCCCTCCTCCTCCTCCTCTCCTCCTCCTCCTTCACCCTCTTCCTATTTCACCCTCCTCACCATGCTTCTACAACTGCTCTCTCCTCTCCTCCTCCTCCTCCTCATCCTCCTCCTCCCTCCACCTCCTCCTTCTCCTCCTCCTCCTCCTCCTCCGCCTCCTCCTCCTCCTCCTCCTCCTCCCTGGTGTTGCCAGAGATGGCTCTGGCCCGAGGTGCCCCCCATGTTGTCCTGGGAGGCCCAGATGGCATCCAGGGCCCTTGTCACGAAGCCCGAGGGCACCCTGAGGCCAGATGACCTTTGGCAAACTCCTCCAAGCATTCCTCGCTCTTCCATCTATGCCGCCTTATCCCCCCCCAGCCAGCTGCTGCTGCTGCTGCTGCTGCTGCTGCTGCTGCTGCTGCTAATACGGTTGTCCCTCTTCGACCTTATCATCCTTCTGCTCCTTCTCCACCGTCCTATCCTCCTCTTGATGCCTCAGCCTCATCCACCTCTCTCGCCATCTCCTGCCACTGCTGATGCTCCTCATGCGTCGCCCCATGATATCGGAGGAGGAGGAGCCCTCTGGCCCCCGATCACTTCGCTATTTCCCTTCCCGCATCCTCGTCTCTCCTCCTCCCCCAACACACCCATCTCTCGCCCATCTTGCTCGCTGTTATTCCGCGTGCCAGCGAGGGAGCGTCAGATGAGGATGGGGGAAGGTGGAGGTGGCGCTTCGACACTCTCTCCTTTGATTCCTCGATTTGCCTCGTTGTTCCTCGTTTTGATTCCTCGTTTTGCCGATCATTATGGTGATCGTTCGTTTATTCCTCGTGGTGCCGATCGTCGCGAGCCCTCGCCTCACCCCTTCCCCCTTCTTGGAGCATATCTTGGCTGTTTTGGGCGCCTGTTTCAAGCAGGTGGGGTCTCCCCCATAGGACGCACTGTTGCAGACGGTCGAACTCAGCAGAGGTCCGGAGCCAGACACCCCCTCTTCCGCCCTGTGTCGAAACGCCGAATAAGAAAACGTTCACGTGGTTCACTCCTTCTCTGGTCGGGGTCCCTGGAAGTGTGTGTACGAATGGTGCCGCACACCACAGCGTGCTGTGCGCGGCTCCATGTCTGCAAACCCCGCACGCTCTGTCCCAGAGCCGCAACTGTGCATCCCGCCCGTCTCACACAACCTCGCTTTCGCGCCGCCCGTGGCAGCCAGCGGTGGGACGTTCGTTCTCCTCTTCTCCCGCGAAAGTGTTGTTCTCTTGTTGGGGAGATGGAGGGAGAGGGTTTCTCTCGTCACTCCTCTCCTTCGTCCTCCCTTTCCCGTTCCCGTTCCCCTCGACGTCTTGGCCGGGCCCCCTTTCTTCCCCCTGACGTCTTGGAGCTGCTCCCTCCCTTTGACGTTCCCGTGTGGTTCATCCCTTCGCTGGTATCCTCACTTTGACGTCTTCGAGGGCCCACCTGTGGGAGAGGAGGAGGAGGGGGAGGAAGATATGGATGAAGAGGGGACGGGGGCGGGGAGAAGGAGGAGGAGACAGAGGAAGAGGTGGAGAAGGAGGAGGAGGAGGAGGAGGAGAAGGATGTGGACGAAGAGGAGGGATGGAGGAGAAGGAGGAGGAGGAGGAGTAAGAGGAAAGGACGGATGGAGGACGGATGGAGGAGGAGGAGGAGAGGCAGGGAGCAGGAGGAGGAGTAGGCGGAGGAGCACGAGGACGGAGATGGGGAGACAGCAGGCCATGGGGGGGGGGGCTGTTGTCGCGGAAGCGCCAGAGCCACCGCGCCCCCCCCACCCCTCCTGCGGACCCGAGATGGCTTGGCATCGCTCGGACATGCATTCCTTCCCGGCGAGGACCACGGAAGAGCATCTTGGATCATCGTGCAAAGAAGTAACGCCCGAGACCTCCGAATCCTCGGGGAATGGACGTCCGAGCGATGGCGACACGAGGACGGTATCGCCACCGCGCTCGTGATGTCTCACATGTCGTCCGCGGCCTCCCTGGTGTCCGCGCAGACGCACATCCACGGAGGGGGTCGGGGCGCGCGGCCAGCGCTGACATCAGAGGGAGCGGGTGGGATTGCTGGGGGAGGAGGGGTACGGTCGGGAGCCTTTGCCTGGCGTGTCACACGTCACGGCTCCCAAGCGCCAGCGGCACGCTATCCGCTCGCAGGGCATAGCGTATCGCCCGGGCCGCCGCCGCGACACGCTAATCGAAAGTCGCCGACCGTAGGAGAGAGGAGGGAAAGGAGGGGGAGGTTCGACGCTCGGCAGGCCTGCGCACGAGGGGCAAGAGCAGCCGGGGGTGCTGATTGGCCAAGCTGCTGCCCCGTGAAGATCGGGGGTGGACAGACCCCCTACCCTGACACGTCGATTGAGGAATTGGCCGTTTTCGGTTCGCGAGAGGGCGTCACGGCCGTCATTTTTGCGGGTCCAGGTCCGTCGGTTTCGGCCCCAGGCCGTTTTCACTAAGGGGAGGTCTACTAAAGGGAGGTTTGTCCACCGCCGATGAAGAGCTGAGGAGGAGGAGGAGGAGGAGGAGGAGGAGGAGGAGGTCGAGGAGGAGGAGGAGGAGGAGGAGGAGGAGGAGGAGGAACCGATACCGAGGGAAGGCGCAACACCACAGGGCAGCCGAAGCAGGGCTGCGGCGCCGAGAGCGGCCAGAGATGGCTGCAAGGCGGCTGGAGCCCCAGGCCTGCCAGCGCTGCGATTCGACCATGCCGCGTGCCCTCAGCGGAGCAGAAGGCGTGCGCCCGGCCTGGGTCGCCCGGGGCGGCCGCCCCCTCGGGGGGGGGCGGCCAGAAATGGCTGCAAGGCGGCTGGAGCCCCAGGCCTGCAGCGCTGCGATTCGACCGTTCCGCGCGCCCTCAGCGGAGCAGAATCGGGCCGGACGGAAGGGGGGGATTGGGAAAGGGGGGGTTACGAAATTTGCTGCATGCAGCTGGTTTCGGCCTCACCGAGGGGCCCATTCCTCGATACATAGCCGCCTCCGGCGCCGGGAGGCGCCAGGAACATCAGCTACGCGAGCCGATTCTCAAACCCCCCCTTTGCTATCCCACCCTTTCGCCCGACCCGACAGAAGGCGCGCGCCCGGCCTGGGTCTCCCGGGGCGGCCGCCCCCTCGGGGGGGGCAGGCAGCACCATCGAAGCCAGGACCAACGACGAGGAGCAGGGATCAAACGGCGCGAGGATCGGGACAAAATCGGATCGGGATAATTCGAAATCTCTGAGAATCGGCGGGTTTGGAGGATGTATTGGGCGCCGCGGCCGCTCCAGAGCGTTCCGGAACGCTCTCAGAGCGCTCCGGAACGCTCTGGAGCAACTTATCCCGATCCTAACCCTGTTTTAAGGGAGCCGCTGAGACGGATCTTCGGAGCCGAGGGCGCCCCCCGTGGTGCAGAGGCCTCTCGGAGACCCGGTGGGCGCCACGCTGCACAGCGGCGGCATCGCGGGAGGCGCTCGCGGGAGCTCCTGGAGTAGGGACAGCCAATGCCAGGAGGGAAAAAAAAACACAGACACAATGACTCCTCGATTCCCAGGAAAATATGGGAAAGTATGGGAAGTGGGGGGGAAGATAAACACCCAGAACATATGGGAATGTATGGGGGATCTTCTATTTGTGTGTATTTATGTGTGTGTGTGTTTGTGTGTTTGTGTGTGTGTGTGTGTGTTTGTGTCCCAGGGCCCCTTCACAATGGCGCAACGAACCCAGCTGGGAAAGCTACGGGGCAGGCAGACGACACCGCTCACCAGAGGAACTGGGCTGAACCGTACAACAGCCTGTACAAGATACCGCGGCGCGACATCCAATGGAGCCCGCAGTGGCTCTCTAGAGAGCGCCGAGACGAGACCTTCAACCGCCTCCAGGGCACCTGCGGCACTCTGTTCTCGGGGGCGGAAAAGAGGGGGGTGATGATTAGGGGGGTGGATATCATGGCGTGGGCCATGATTTTTCCTCAGATGTCATGGCGCCTCTTCTTATCTTTATACGTCCCCGGCCCCCCTATGGGCCGCGCACATGCCGCCAGCCATGATTTGCACCCCCCCCTCTTGGACGCCCCCCTCTTTGCCGCCCCCGATGTTCGTCGAAGGATAGAACGGGGCCTGTGACCAACGAAACGCCAAACGGTGGGGCAGGGGCTTTGAAGATTTCTACCGCAAGTTCCTGGAAGACCTGGCCGAGTCCCCCTACGACACTCGCGCGTTCTCGCCGCCTGTAGGTTGACTGGGACCAAGTACGGCAGCAACAGCAGGACCTGCAGACCCAGGCTCCTGGCGGGAAAGGCCAACACGGCAAGCGGCACAGCGGAGCCTCGCGGCCCTCCGTAGACCTGTCCCAGATGCGAGGCTTGTGGCCCTAGGCTTTGGTTTGCCCATCGTGCAGGACGGGCATCGTGCGTTCTTTGCCCTGGACGAACCTGGCTGATAACGAGCTTGATACTGTATCAGTGAGCGCGGCTCGGCGCATTGCCCGAGTTCCACGTGCTTGTGCACCGATCACGTGCTTTCATGCTTTGCGCGCCATCCACCCCAGGTGGTGCGCCCTCCCTCTCTCCCCTCGGGGCGCGCCATCCACCCCAGGTTGTGCGTCTCTCCTCCACCGTGGCGCTTACCAGCCCTGGCAGCGCCCAGGCTTTAATACCTGCGCGTGCACCGATCAGATGTTTCTTTCTTGCTTTTGGGCGCGCCATCCACCCCAGGTGGCGCCCCCCTCTCTCACCCTGAGACGCGCCATACATCCCAGGTGGTGCGCCCCCCTCCTCCGCGGCGCCCCCCCGATGCGGTGCCCCAGCCGTGGCACCTGCTTGTGCACCGATCAGGTGCGTCCTCTCAGTACCTGGACTCGCGCTGCCTCCCAGTGCCTCAGTGGGAAGCTGCAAACGCCAGCAGCTGTGCGGCTATCGCGTGGTACACGCGCCGCCCGCCCTGGCCCCGCGTGCCTCCCGTCAGCCACGACCCTGCGTCTGCCGGCCCGTGGCGCGTGCAGGGAGCCGCCCAGCTGCCTGACTTGGGTGTCGGCACCCGTGCGCCCGCCGCCCCCTTTTTGCCTCGGCGCTGCCCTGTCGCGGGGGACCTCCGCCCTGCCCCAACTGTGATGCGTGCGCACAGGCTGGGGTTCGGGTTTGCTGCCCTCCCCATCGCCTCGCTAGTTTCGGCCGTCGTGCTGACACCCCGCCTTGCCGGCGGCTCACTGGACTGCCACCCGGGCCCCTGCGGTCGCCCTGCATGCGCCGCCCCCTCTGGCCGGCCCGTGGCCCCCACCGCCTTTCCCGGCTTCACCGTCGCCGCCTTGCTGGGTGGACGCGCTTCTGCGCCCCCGCCGCTTGCAGCATCGTTTCCGTGCTGGCTGGTCTGGTCGAGATCTTTTCTGCCCCATGCCTGGCCAGTGAAGCTGCAGCTGTCCGCATTGCCCAGGCCCCACAGCCCGCCCAGCACCGGTCCCGCCGCATGCTGCCGCCTGGGACGCCGCTGTCTGCTCAGCTGCACCAGGGCATCGAGCCACGGCTCCGAACTCCCGCTGCTGTATTTCCTCTTCGCGCATTGCAGCCTCTGCCCCGGTCCCTCGGTGTGGCAGCGACGCCGCCCCTCGCCCGCTGCCATGGGTGTAGCACTGGCTGGCCGCCCCGGCCGCTCCGCGCTGCGTGAGCGCTCTCTTTCCTCCCCCCGCCCGCGGCCGCTTCCCTCCCTCAATTTTCCATTGTCTGTTGCTGGACACTTCGCGATGCCGTCACCCAGCTTGCCCGAGCGCGCGTGCGGATTGCCCGTGCCGAGCTCTGACGCTGTGCCTCAGCGGTCTCGGCCCCGTCCCTGGGGGAGTTTTGTGCCCTGGACAATTCCATAGGCCGTCCCTGGGGGAGTCTTGTGCCCTGGACAATTCCATAGGCCGTCCCTGGGGGAGTTTTGTGCCCTGGACAATTCTATAGGCGCCGGCCGAAACCGAGACCGGCTGGAGTCACGCAGGAGCATATGGATGCATGGCCGGCTTGCGGGCGGAGCGTGCGGATCTCGGTCGGAGCAGGGCCCCGGAGGAGTTCCAAGCCCCCACGTCCTTTGCTTTCGCCCCTGCGAACAGCGCTGGACGTCGAGAGTGAGGGCCCGCGCGCGCACGTTTGATTTATGTTGTCCTTGTGCGCGCGAAGACGGCCCACGGAGCCCCAGATTGAGAAAGCACGTCGGGGTTGAAGACCAGCGCGAAGGAGGTCCGGGAGTGGAGCTCAACCACGCGAGCTGCAGATCTTAGCGGCGAGCGACGGAGGGCAGTGAGAGGGGCCGAGCTTTTTCAGAAGGCTCGGAAGACCCCCAGCTTTCTGAGAAGTCTTATAAGCCTTCCCCGAAAGCACGAAAAGCTTTTGAGAAGGCCGGAGGCCTTCTGAAAAGCCCCGCCGCTTTCTGAGAAGGCCTTCTCCTTCCCACTTCCCCCCCATCGCTCGCCGCCGAGTGGAGCTCACCCAGGCGGGCTGCAGATCGGAGTGGACCAAGGGCCTCGCAGGAAGGCGCGGGCGCTTTGCGAGCGCCCGAGATGAGAGGGAACAGGTCGAGGGGGGGAGGAGGGACGCCCACAGGCTCGACAGGGAAGGAAAAGGAGGAGGAGGAGGAGGAGGAGGAGGAGGAGGAGGAGGAGGAAGAAGGAGAAGAAGCGGAGGAGAACGACGAGGAGGAGGAGGAGGAGGAGGAGGAGGAGGAGAGAAGGGACAGAAGCGGAGGCGGAGGAGGAGAAGGAGGAGGAGGAGGAGGAAGAGGAGGAGGAGACAGAAGAGAAGCAGGAGGAGGAGGAGGAGGAGGAGGAGGAGGAGGAGGAGGAGGAGGAGGAGGAGGAGGAGGGGGGAGGAGGGGGAGGAGGAGGAGGAGGAGGAGGAGGAGGGAGGAGGAGGAGGAGGAGGAGGAGGAGGAGGAGGAGGAGGAGGAGGAGGAGGAGGAGGAGGAGGAGGAAAAGTAGGAGGAGGAGGGGGAGGAGGAGGAGGAGTGCGGCGGAAGCGAGAGGAGGAGCGGCGCGGAGAGAAGAGGCGGAGAGAGGCGGAAGAGGAGGAG